TAAGAGAAAATACACTCCTGACAATGAGGTGGTTCTATTACCATTGCTAAATACAAAAGGGTCGATTCCATCCACCCTAACCTCATCTTACGGTAACATTTCGATACAGTCTATGCCCTTCCCACCACATCCCACCTTCGATAAGCATCCAGACATCTCATCCACCTTTATACTCGTCCCACATCTAAAGAAGCCCCAGTCCGAGCGGCCCACTGTAGCAGCCATGCTACCAACAACAGCAACTACAAGTAACTCCACCCTACCCCTTCCCCAACTCAACCCTCCTAATGGGAGAAACGTATTGGACAGTAATAGGGGCGTTAGCCACATCAACGCTTCCTTTCTTGTCTGAACTTATACACCACCTTTCCATCACCATCGACCATCTTCTTTCGACGACCCCTTTCAGCCCGGACCTGTCGAAATATTTACATTTACTGTTTACACCCGTCTCTGCTGGCTCCGGAATCTCCTCGAAATTCGGATGAAAGTATAATGAAACCAGCAAATTTTTCGCAAAATTTCTTCACTATCACCAACACATCTGACCTCTTTTCTAAGTTCCAATTCCGCTTCAACTTCCTTCAACTTATCAGCCCTATTCTGCAGACTCAACAAGGTCGAGTACTGCTCAGGAGCTCCACTGACGGCCGCTGGTATCACTGATAGAAACACCATATTCACCGAAGCTAATGAGCATTCCGAACTACCTCCCTTAGCCAGCTGGTCCTTGGTCAGCCTATTGCTAACTCTTCCTAATAGTCTCTCATCCGTGTCAAAGTATTCAGCTGGGTTGAACTGAAACGATCTTGCAGTGACAAAGACACCAACCTCACGACAACGAGAGGGATGAAAAAAGTAAATCCGCAGAAAGCATGCATATTTCCATAATGATACACGATGATGCGAAAATATATCCATATCACATCTAGTCTCGGGCATCATAGCAGTTATATCAGCAGAAGGTCAGTCAACATTCAGACGACGCTGGTGACACGAGCAGATTTACACCACGCGATCCAGTGTCACCACACTACCTTGCCATTGGTAGCAGCTTGGCTGCTCTCATCCTCCGAATCCACAAAGATCGTATGGCGACCCGAGTAGTCGTCCAACCTAGCGTCATACAGGCTCTCACAGAGTTACTCATAAAGCTGACGATACTACAAATGCAGATTTTTTTTCATCTTTTCAATCTTCTTCTCATCAATGACTCTTCTGTTAGAGACATAACGAAGATCCTGGGTGTCCACCAACTTCAGCTGATCTCGGTCCAACTTCGCCCCCGAATGAATCACATCGCCTATAAATATAAATACTATAACCAATGAAAATATAAAACGTAATACGTGATATGAAAAACACTGGTGAAAAAAATATTTCACGACTACTGCATAGCGCTTCACGTAGAATGGGTGAAACTCCATTATAAAATAATATCATCCAGAGAGCAATATAGGTTAATATTTACACCAAAAATGGGGATAATATACGAATGTCCAATCCCCCCTACGAATTGAATGTTGATTAAAATCAGATTGTACTTAGTTTCTCAAACAGTGTGGGAAAATATGCACATGATCAACTACCTTTGTTGGTGACAGCAAAAATATTTTGAAGAAAATTCTTTTCGGTTTCTGGAAACTTTCACCTGAATTCGTATGTAAGTGAGGAAATTTCTAAACTCAGTTGAGGAAGGCAATCATAAATCACAGCTCTGTGCTCAGCAGTGGTGGCTGTTAATAGCCGATCAATATCCACGACCCGGTTATTACTACCTTTCTTCTGTTTAGAGCTGGTCATGCGGTAGTAGAACTCATCCTTGTTGCGAAGGGCCGCTTTCTGCCTCAAATTATCTGCATTTAATCCTCCCACTCTCTTTTCAATTCGTAAAGGACCTCCTACTTAGTTGGTCTTCCTTCCTATGATAATCCTTAGCTCGTTTGCTATAGTCCTTGTGCTTTTCTAGTAGCCCCAGCTTCTGCCGAGACGCCAATTGATGCCTCTCCTTATGAGTCCGTCGGGCAACCACATGCCTGAGGGCTCCGCTGCCAGATGTCATAGCACAAGACCACTACACGAACTGTCCGTTGCAACGGGAAAAGTTTTTATTGGAAAAGCAAACTACACCTAGGCATGCCAAACAACGAATTCGAAAGCGAAAGAGGTAAACTGTTCAGCGGTTCATTTTCAACGGAAACAGAATTATACACGTCTGACGAAGTAGATCATACGAGTAACAAGTGAAACGTTCATCAGCCCCCTAACAGAGCCCCGACCGGCGAAACGATGGTATGTAGCATTCGCTTCACCAACGAGTCTTGTATTATACGGCGTGTTCAATAGACCTTCAAGAGCCCACCCGGGATTAAATATCACATGTAAAACTCAATCTTGGGAGCGCTCTTGGAACTCAGGAGAGGTCTACTGAACCTCACCCCAATAGAGTTTCATGACTCTGCGTCACTATAACCGGGAAAAACCGTCGGATAAACATTTCGTGCAATTGCAGGTATTCTTCGTGACGCGATCGTCTGTGTCCTGGCCATGAGCTACTCGTGAAAGTCAGACAATCTTAGAAGATAGCACTCGCTGTTGCATCGCACCGCTAGTGGAGGGAAATGTGCACCGTTGTCTCGGGTACGCGGATCTCAGAAATTCTTCAACATTGGGCTGAGCCTTTGTCTCTGCCGTGACGGGTTCTCTCCCAGGAGTTGAGTGAACGCAAGTAGAGTAGCCATACTCGCTAAAGAGTTC